ATGAAAGGTTGCTAATAATCGGGATAGCTCTATTTCTAACCTCTAAACAATTACCAATATGTAGTTTATTAATATTATTCTCAATACTCTTAATAAACTCAATTATGGTCTTTTTGATGTTAACCGGAGGGAGGGAAAAATTTCCTCCCAATTGTAATAAACTCTGAACTTTAAATGGTATATGAATGGAAGTCAGATTAATGAACCAATTGTTTTTTAAACAACTCAAAGATGAATCGAAACTTTTACTTCTAATATCAGACAGATCTATATGCACATCTACACTATTTCCATTGATATCCTGATTATTAAGGTTATAATTTCTAATATTAATCGAATCACCACTATTCTTTCTACTTCCTATCAATGGACTATGATTATCATCCTTTACATTATAACTAACAGGTTTAACATTTCGAAACCGTTCTTGTATTTTTCTTTTGATAAGCCAATGCATTTTTTTGTTTAATTTATATCTTTCTTGATCATATAACTTTGTGAAATACAACTTCTGTCTACTAAAAAACTCTTCACAAATGTACCATGGAATGTGTTGAGAAATCCTTTTTACTAAATCTAGCGACTGTTTTTTGGAAGAGTTGATAGATCTATGAGCTTCATTAATTTCAATTTTAAGTATCCGGTGCATGTACAAATGTGTCATAGACGAAAACTTTTTCATAGTTATATGATGTGATAAATTAAGTTTATGTTTTTTGATGTAATATAGATGTTGTGGTACCACCTTTTCACGTATACAAAATTTTAAAAAATTGATGCGGACATTATTCTTAACAATGATCTTTTGTTGTTTTGACCACGATTTAATATAAGTTAGCGCAATTGGACCAAAGGTCATCAAAATAAAGCTAAAAAACGAATTATGTTGTTGACGCATTTTTCAGCCAGCGTATAATAAAATAAATATAATAAAAACTCTCGAAATTGTCAAAATAAAACCATAAAAAGGGGGCTAATGAGAGTATAGTCGCTGATCGTTTTGCGATGAATAAGTTTATTAATTAATTAGCATCCATACGTTTCGGCATCCATTCGAGCCATCATCAGTGCATCTTAGACTTAAAATTAATATTGATTATCGATCATTACTTGGCTCCACGAGAGTGGTCACTCCTTCCATCAACAATACGTGACAACAGATTGAAAAAGCAATTGGCAACGTTCGAGGATGTAGTTCTATAAATAGAAATGAACAATACCAAAAATCTCCAATAAAATTGTAACTACCAGTGAATAAGACTCACCCGTAAGGCCAAGAATAAACGGTAATACTTATGTATAATGTGTATCGTATCCATTAATTAAAATTATAAAAAACACCGCAGTCAAATACAATAAATTTCAGTAAGTCAGATCTAATTAAACAATCAATTTTGAATACGTGGTACATTTTTGTCGACTCATATAACAACGAACAATCGTATGAATCTTCCAACAGTAACTCGCTCGAATTATACATTTATATAGAGTGGTAAATGACATTTATGATGTGTAACAAACGGTAAAGACAACAATCAAAGGATACAAAGAGACTATCTTACCGAGCAATGATAACAAAAACTATATAGTAATAAAGATGAAAACTTCGAACGACAATCGTTACAAATTATTCAAGATCGAAATATACGCATGGTGTAGAAATTCTGTGTCAGACTGTAAGTTTAACCCATTTTTTTGCAACTGTATGTGCACCATTTCTGATATTCGTCGTTTAAATAAAAATCTTTCATTGTCCATTATCTCTACATTTTCCCAATCGAAATCGTGATTATAATTAAGTCTATGTTCTGTAATTACCGAATGATTATTAATATTTTTTCGAATATCATTACGGTGCTCATTAATTCTCGTCTTTAATATACGTTTAGTCTGACCAACGTATGAAGCATCACAGTCATTACATTTGATCTTATATACTGCGTTCTTTTTAGACATATTTGGTATCGGATCTTTATGTGTTTTTATAAAACAGCTAAGCTTATTGAGACTAAAGTACGCCAGGTTTACTTTATAATCCTTGGTGATATCTCTAAATTTATCCGAAACCTTAGTTACATAGGGGAACGCAAACCACATATTGTTTTTTACATCTGTGTCGCTATCAATGTTACTGTTTTGCCTCAACGTTTTTCCATGTAATAAAGATTTGAGACGTTCATTCATTACATTGAAAATAAAATCCACCGGATAGTCATTATTCATAAGTGTCTCTATCACAAATAATAAATTCTTTTTATGATATTTAGGTACTGATAATAGAAAAGCTCTATCAACCATTCCCATAACAGTGCCCTTTTTCTGCGACAAAGGATGTTCAGAAAAAAAATTCAAATATCTCCCCGAGTATGTTGGCTTATGGTACCAATCAAATTCCAGAGATTGGTTATTCTTAATGATGGTGATGTCCAAAAAATTCAACCTATTTCCACCTATTTCTAACGTAAATTGTAATCGAGGATGAAATGAGTTAAAAACGTCCAAAATTTTTGAGGTTTTTTCGACAGGAGCACCCATAGCAATATCATCCACATATCGCACATAAAATGGTATATAAAAGCCTAAAGTATCTAACGCCTTCCTCTCTAAATCTTGTAACACAATATCAGCGATAACCGGAGACAGAGGTGAACCCATAGGCATGCCGAATTTTTGTCTATAAATAACGTTGTCAAAAGAGAAAAAAGTCGAATCAATCACCAGTCTTAATGCAATAAAAAATTCGTCCCTAGTAATATTCGTTCTGTTAGAAATCGAAGGCCATCTAAGAGAGATGCTGTCCAAAGCTAAGTCAATGGGTATGTTCGTAAATAATGAAACGACGTCAAGTGAGATTAAAATAAAATTGTCATCTAACGTAGTTTTTTTCAAAACATTAATCAAGTCAAAACTGTTTTTTATCTGACTAAATGAGTTCACACTGACTTTTTGAATAATTTTGTGTAGAAATGTTGCCAACGGGTATAACGGACTGTCTATGGTTGAAATGATAATTCTAAGAGGTGCTCCTATTTTGTGTATTTTCGGGAGTCCATATGCTCCCGGCAACACACCTTCACTCACATTTAAACTATTGTATGTGTAATGAGTGATAAATTCTTTTTTCTCCCATCTAGCCAACAATTCTCTCAATTTCCTCGATAAAACATTGGTTTGATCCCTTTTAACTACTTCATATGTATCCCTATCATTAAGTAAACTTAGCATATTTTTCTTATATTCCATTTTACTCATTGCCACTGTCACATTCCCCTTGTCGGCTCTTGTAATCATGATGTCCCTATTATTCTTTATAAACAAGCTAGTTTCCTTCCACATGTCCACAAGTTTATTTTTTATGCTATCAGTATGATTGAGAACTGATGAAAGGTTGCTAATAATCGGGATAGCTCTATTTCTAACCTCTAAACAATTACCAATATGTAGTTTATTAATATTATTCTCAATACTCTTAATAAACTCAATTATGGTCTTTTTGATGTTAACCGGAGGGAGGGAAAAATTTCCTCCCAATTGTAATAAACTCTGAACTTTAAATGGTATATGAATGGAAGTCAGATTAATGAACCAATTGTTTTTTAAACAACTCAAAGATGAATCGAAACTTTTACTTCTAATATCAGACAGATCTATATGCACATCTACACTATTTCCATTGATATCCTGATTATTAAGGTTATAATTTCTAATATTAATCGAATCACCACTATTCTTTCTACTTCCTATCAATGGACTATGATTATCATCCTTTACATTATAACTAACAGGTTTAACATTTCGAAACCGTTCTTGTATTTTTCTTTTGATAAGCCAATGCATTTTTTTGTTTAATTTATATCTTTCTTGATCATATAACTTTGTGAAATACAACTTCTGTCTACTAAAAAACTCTTCACAAATGTACCATGGAATGTGTTGAGAAATCCTTTTTACTAAATCTAGCGACTGTTTTTTGGAAGAGTTGATAGATCTATGAGCTTCATTAATTTCAATTTTAAGTATCCGGTGCATGTACAAATGTGTCATAGACGAAAACTTTTTCATAGTTATATGATGTGATAAATTAAGTTTATGTTTTTTGATGTAATATAGATGTTGTGGTACCACCTTTTCACGTATACAAAATTTTAAAAAATTGATGCGGACATTATTCTTAACAATGATCTTTTGTTGTTTTGACCACGATTTAATATAAGTTAGCGCAATTGGACCAAAGGTCATCAAAATAAAGCTAAAAAACGAATTATGTTGTTGACGCATTTTTCAGCCAGCGTATAATAAAATAAATATAATAAAAACTCTCGAAATTGTCAAAATAAAACCATAAAAAGGGGGCTAATGAGAGTATAGTCGCTGATCGTTTTGCGATGAATAAGTTTATTAATTAATTAGCATCCATACGTTTCGGCATCCATTCGAGCCATCATCAGTGCATCTTAGACTTAAAATTAATATTGATTATCGATCATTACTTGGCTCCACGAGAGTGGTCACTCCTTCCATCAACAATACGTGACAACAGATTGAAAAAGCAATTGGCAACGTTCGAGGATGTAGTTCTATAAATAGAAATGAACAATACCAAAAATCTCCAATAAAATTGTAACTACCAGTGAATAAGACTCACCCGTAAGGCCAAGAATAAACGGTAATACTTATGTATAATGTGTATCGTATCCATTAATTAAAATTATAAAAAACACCGCAGTCAAATACAATAAATTTCAGTAAGTCAGATCTAATTAAACAATCAATTTTGAATACGTGGTACATTTTTGTCGACTCATATAACAACGAACAATCGTATGAATCTTCCAACAGTAACTCGCTCGAATTATACATTTATATAGAGTGGTAAATGACATTTATGATGTGTAACAAACGGTAAAGACAACAATCAAAGGATACAAAGAGACTATCTTACCGAGCAATGATAACAAAAACTATATAGTAATAAAGATGAAAACTTCGAACGACAATCGTTACAAATTATTCAAGATCGAAATATACGCATGGTGTAGAAATTCTGTGTCAGACTGTAAGTTTAACCCATTTTTTTGCAACTGTATGTGCACCATTTCTGATATTCGTCGTTTAAATAAAAATCTTTCATTGTCCATTATCTCTACATTTTCCCAATCGAAATCGTGATTATAATTAAGTCTATGTTCTGTAATTACCGAATGATTATTAATATTTTTTCGAATATCATTACGGTGCTCATTAATTCTCGTCTTTAATATACGTTTAGTCTGACCAACGTATGAAGCATCACAGTCATTACATTTGATCTTATATACTGCGTTCTTTTTAGACATATTTGGTATCGGATCTTTATGTGTTTTTATAAAACAGCTAAGCTTATTGAGACTAAAGTACGCCAGGTTTACTTTATAATCCTTGGTGATATCTCTAAATTTATCCGAAACCTTAGTTACATAGGGGAACGCAAACCACATATTGTTTTTTACATCTGTGTCGCTATCAATGTTACTGTTTTGCCTCAACGTTTTTCCATGTAATAAAGATTTGAGACGTTCATTCATTACATTGAAAATAAAATCCACCGGATAGTCATTATTCATAAGTGTCTCTATCACAAATAATAAATTCTTTTTATGATATTTAGGTGCTGATAATAGAAAAGCTGTATCAACCATTCCCATAACAGTGCCCTTTTTCTGTGACAAAGGATGTTCAGAAAAAAAATTCAAATATCTCCCCGAGTATGTTGGCTTATGGTACCAATCAAATTCCAGAGATTGGTTATTCTTAATGATGGTGATGTCCAAGAAATTCAACCTATTTCCACCTATTTCTAACGTGAATTGTAATCGGGGATGAAATGAGTTAAAAACGTCCAAAATTTGTGAGGTTTTTTTGACAGGAGCACCCATAGCAATATCATCCACATATCGCACATAAAATGGTATATAAAAGCCTAAAGTATCTAACGCCTTCCTCTCTAAATCTTGTAACACAATATCAGCGATAACCGGAGACAGAGGTGAACCCATAGGCATGCCGAATTTTTGTCTATAAATAACGTTGTCAAAAGAGAAAAAAGTCGAATCAATCACCAGTCTTAATGCAATAAAAAATTCGTCCCTAGTAATATTCGTTCTGTTAGAAATCGAAGGCCATCTAAGAGAGATGCTGTCCAAAGCTAAGTCAATGGGTATGTTCGTAAATAATGAAACGACGTCAAGTGAGATTAAAATAAAATTGTCATCTAACGTAGTTTTTTTCAAAACATTAATCAAGTCAGTTTTGAAATTTGAAAAAATTTTTAATTTCCTGATTAATCAAGTAATCGGAATAAAAAATTTTTATTACTTAATTAATCAAGTAATCGGAAAAAATTTAAAAGTAAAAATATTTTATTC